TATGCATGGCATGGGCTGGGCACTGGAAGTGATGGAATGAGACACATGCTTACATGGAAAGACAGACCAGTTTGGATTCCTTAGGGAACAGGAAAATTAGGGAGGCAATGTTATAAGCAGTTCCACTACTTTCCCAGGCAAAACCTGTCAAATACAGTATTTGTTGTGCATGCATGAGGGTGCCTTTCCTGTGCCCTATACTAAACCTGGGCAATTCTGCTCACATTGTGGACTTTAGACCTCTCCATCTCTTGGCTGGGAGTAGTTCCAGGAGGCAGCCAAGCCCAGTTCTAAGCCTACATACGGTGGATTACCAGGTATGAACACCTGAAAACACTTTGACAGTCATTCTTCAACGTCAGAGAGCTTTTAGGTCCGAGTCATTTGCAGGAAGATTTAATTTCCAGATCACCACAACTACTGCAGCTTTTGCTGACCTGAGCAATAAATTCCAGGAGCCTTCCTTGCTTATCCATTAGCTATATCAGAACCTTCTCAAGGTTCAAGTCCCATAGAGTGAGCAGACACCAGGCACTTGAGTAAAAACTGGGCCAATTGCCCTGCAAAAGCAGTTCAAACAATCCTCTCAGACTATGGAGCAAGTAGTCTTCCATGTTGAATTCTAAGATCTATTACAATTCTTATGCCTCATCACAAATCCATTGCCATAAATCCACATGCCTGTCTTCCAGCAACCCTGTCTTCAATGGTAATCCAACTTATCCACACACAGCATGTATTTGTAAAATTTTTGCTCCTCTAGTCTTCTTCCAAACTGATTTTCCTAACTTTATTCTCTTCCCAGCTTCTTACCTAAAAAGCAGTCAACACTGGTATGTGCATTATTTCTCCCCACCCCAGAGATAGAAGCAATACAAAATGTCAGACTGACAAAAACGTTTTCCATTAAAGAGCAAAGAAACAAGCACTGGCCTAATATTTTGTATACATCATTTCCTTTCCTATACAACAGCGCTAGGAGAATGGGCATGCTGTCTTAATTACAAAGCCTAGCAGTTTAAGAGTTGCACAACAAGAAATAACATTAAAAAACCCAAAACCACTTTACCATGGCTTATCAACATTCAACACTGTTATAGCCACAAAAAATCCAGTAATCCCATTTTCTCAGCCTTGCTGCCTGGTGTTTCTTTCTCCAGCTTACTATGCCTTTAATTACAGAACATAATTCTTTGTGTTTTCACTTTTACAGGAAGTTGCTTGGCTCCTTGAAGGCTGACTAAATGACAGTAATAACAAACCAACTGATCCTCTTTAACAGGAATTTCAGAGAAACCCTGTTGACTCAAACACACAAGAGTGAAAGTACATAACTGATTTGAAAGGAAATAAACTGTTCTGTGGAGGAAATACTGATGAGAACTGTTCTTTCTGTGAATAATTTTAAAATTGAGGATCAAAATAATCCTGCTAATTGGCAACTCTTATGTTGTTGGAAAGAGAGCTCTATTGGAGAATGCAAGCAAAAAAAAGGGTGGAAAGAGCTGGCTTTATCAGATGAATGGAAGTGGGAGTATCTGAAGTCTCACCTCTAGACTCGTTTGCTCTAACTTATACTTTTTTGTCCACTGAACCTGAAATCAAATTATTTACCCTTCTGATTCTAATTTCACCTTTTATGGATGAGTTCTACTCATTCTAAATTGCATGTCACATATCCAGTGATACTGAACGGGATTAATTCATGGGTTGAAACCGAGGTCTGGTCTATATAGAGATGAACCCCTATGTAGCACAGTCTAAGTTCCCATTCCTGTCAGTGTACATCAGTGTAGTCTATACAGTCTGTGTGGACCAATTCATCTAACCCTGAATTATGCTGAAAATAAATGCTCTTTTGGGCTTGCTTACTCTAAATAACAAGTGTTAAATTCAGTATCCACAAATCCGTAAATTCAGTATCCACATGTATTGCCAGCTAGGATACCACAGGCTAGCCCTCTGAACCTCTAGCTGCTGGACCAAAAGGAAGTGGGTCCTGTGCTGAATCTGCCCATTCTACTAGGCATGCTGGACTCGTCATAGCATCTTAAGTATCGTGAGAACTTTGTGTTGAAATAGCCATCTCAGCCCTAGGCCACATGCTGATGTGGAGATACCTAGACTTAAGAGATAGATTTTTTTTATATTTACTTTAAAATACTTCAGCTAATTTAGGTGCAAAACCTTTTGTTGGATCTCAGGAAACTGGAGTTTTTGAGCTTTCTGTGCTTCCAGGCACAGACCCCCTGGAAAACACTGCACTGGACCTGAAACCTTGGAGAAGACTTGTAAATATGAATAATAAGTTAGAAATCACAAATGTATAGTGGGTTAGATGAGTATGTTTTCACTGGTGATGGGTTTTAAATTTGAGGTTTTTATAATATAGTAGTAGCCATGGGACAAGATGGAGAATTTTGGGTGGTGTCTTTCTTCTTGTTCATCTTCTTCTCTTCCTTCTTCTTCACGGAACTTAGGTAGTTACCTTTGGATTGATCAGTTGAAAGTCACTCTAAGGGTCATGGGAATTCATTATTGGGTTAAAAGTATAAATAATATAGGTGTAAAACCTTTATTGGTGTGTTTACCTTTAAAAGGCCTTGAAGCAGTCTCAGCTGGGGACATTTTTCCTACTTCCAGCAAGCAGATAGAGGTACTGTCGTACTTTCTGTAAATTTTGATAAGATATAACAAACATCCAAGTCCAAACACGAGAATCTGTCTCAGTCACCTTTCTAATAATCCTGGCTCCAAACAGACGAGACTGATGACAAACCACTAATTAGTGGTGCAAAAGCCTGGCACACTCCAATACCTTTCTTACTGGTAATAGAAAAGTGAGGGATGGGCCTTTTTCTGTATGATAGTTCTTTAGCAGAGTGCTAGAATAATCCTCCTTTGCTGTGTGGGTTAAGATTCAGATCCCTGCTGCAAAGCACATGTATTACTTTGATTTCAATTGGATTTCAACATCAGTCACAAGGCCTTTTCTCTTTGGCAGGAAAGCACTAAAAATATAAATAAGGAATAAGATGCTCACAAATGACCCTTCCCTGAAGACAGGGTAGGTTGGCCCTAGTTATATGCCAAGTGCCCACCAAAGCTTCTCTATTACTCAGTTGGACAGGCAAGAGAAATTGTCATGAAATGCTTGTGAGTCAGGATAGAGAGAGATCACTCATTAATTACCATCATAGGCAAAAATGTGTGGATATTAATTGAATTTATTACCAATCAAACCAGAGTAGGATAGTAAGAAATAAAACTAAATCTTAAACACTTTCTCTTTGTCCCTCCCTTCTTCCCAGGCTCAGTTTTACTCCTGAGTCACTACCTCCTCCTCCCTGCAGTTATGCAGGGAGAGGGGAATAGGAGCTCTGGTCAGTTCATCACACATTGCCTCTGCTGGTCCTTTCTCCTCAGTGGGAGGATTCGTCACCTTCCAGCATAGGGTCCCTTCACCAAGGGAGAAGGAGAGCCCAAGGAGAGTCCTTCCCACAGGCTGCAGTTCTTCATGAACTGCTCCAGCGTGGGTCCCTCCCATGAGGTGCAGTCCTTCAGGAAGAGAGTGCTCCAGCATGGGCTCCTCTCTGCACAGGTCCTGCCAGAAGCCATCCCAAAGGTTCACAGCTTCCTTCAGGCATCCACCTCTCCTGGCCCTGGGTGCGCTACAGAGTGCGCCTCCTCCCATTCCTTCTTCACTAATCTTTCCAGGTGCTGTTGTGCAATTGTTTTATTTCCCTTCTTAAATATGTTATCCCAGAGGTGCTACCACCACAGTTACTGGGCTCAGCCTTGACCAGCAGCAAAGTCATCTTGGAGCTGACTGGCATTAACTCTGCTGGACTTAAGGGAAGCTTCTGGTAGCTTCTCACAAAAGTCACTCCTGTGGTCCCCCGCTACCAAAAGCTTGCCACATAAACCCAGTACAGGAGAAAGGAGAAAACACAGAACAGCTAAATAGAAGGGTCATATACAAAGTGGCTTGTACCACATTTATGGACAGCAGTGAAAATGCACAGATTTTAAAGAGAAGTAAGTGCCTCTTGTGTTTGTAGTTTTGTGGTAGTAAAATACCACTGCAACTGGTCTTTCTTCAAGTAGCAGGGGGAACCAATGCTTTTCAAAGGCAATCTGTTAAAACATGAGCAGGGCCTACCAATTTCACTAGGCTGTGGTGAGGCATAACTGGGCAGCAGGTATCTGCAAAGACTAATTCAACACACCTATTTTAAATACATATTTTAAATACTTATTTTAAAAATAAGTAACATTTGTAGGTATGTCTCTCTCTCTCTCTACTGACTTAAATGGAAGAGTAAAATATCACTTTCAGAAGATACCTAGCTTCTAAATGGTTAAATGAGATGTAGTGAATCCTTTCCTTCTGTTAAATTTAGCATATATATAAAAAAGCGAGAAAGAGAGGGAAGTTTTAATAGACCTAATAAAGAGTACAACGATTTTTTTCCAGTTTGTATTCAAAGATGAATTTTACCCATGGTAAATTAGAATTCTTTGGAAACTCGCCCATAACCTTTAAACTTTTCTGGTTGATGATCTTAATACACAATAAAGGCTTTTTATCAGTAAATTATGCCTGGATGGAAACCAAACTCTGACTCCTACCCCTTCTCCATGCCACAACATTTTTGTAAAGCTGAACAAACACATTACACCAAACCCAGGACACAGAAGTGTAAATACCAATACTATATTAACACAAAACAGTCCAAAACCAAGACACAGCCAAATTATTTCTGCAATATGCAACAGCTGAACAATGTAGTATCTTTACCTGGAAAGATACTGCATAATTGTAATCTATATTTAAGTGTGTTTAAAATGGATTATCAATCCTTCATTTTTTTCCCTCTATGCATTCATGGCTAAAAATAAAATTGAATTGTAAGCTTGACAGTATCATTTCAGAAACTTCCTGTGACAACTATTAAAAGACCATCATCACATACTCAAATTTGAAGAAATCAGATTACCTGAAAAGGCTTTTGTTATCTGGCATAATCCCTCTTTTCTGCAAAGAAAATGCTGGATTTCTGGAAGTAGGTTTACCTGTATACAAAAAAAGAAGCTTTAATGATTTAATTCAAAAACCATTCTTTTTTCTTCAATGGAAAATGCCTTCAATGGGTTTGTGTTTAATTTATCAGAGACACCTCATGTGCAAAAGTCCCATCAGTGTCAAGAGGAAATAATAACTTTGCCCTCCCTGCAATGTTGGAATAGTGAAGTTAAAGTGTGGACTCTTCCTGTGTGTCCATAACAACACAAAATTTTAGGTCTATATTTCTCCCTCTGGCTGCTCAGTGCTGACCCATTCCCTATCTCCTTTTCAGTCTCTGCAGCTTCTCTGTTCTGTCCAGTTACCAACCACTGTCTCTCCCTGCATGGAAATACCCTGTTGCCTCTTGAATTGTGTGCTTGGGATCAGTAAAGAGCTAATGTAGCTAAATCACAGGCAGGCTCTGCAGCAAAACACTGTTGCACTTCGGTATGGACATGCCAGCAGCAAGTAATGTTAGTTCAACGTTTAAAGTTTTTCGGAGCAATGGGCCATCTGGTTTAAGTCCCTGCTCTGCTGTAGACTTCCTGAGAGAACCTGCACAAATCCTTTGATCACCTTGGGTCTCAGTTATTCATGTGTGACACATCTGGACATTGCAGCATGCTGCCTGGATTATTGTATTGCACAGCATTAGAGGCTCAGATACGGTAATATAGGCAGAATGAGAAAAAAAGCAGTTTGCAGAAGCCTGGGGTGCTTTATTATCTGAGCATATTCAAAGCATGTATATTTCTAGCAAACTGTAACTGCCATGCAAGTTTCACTTTGCATACACTTTGATATGGCATCCTGTCCCAGGGAACCCCAGTGTATGTGCCTGAAGCTCTGACTTCTGTGGACACCAGTGGTTTATTTTATTATCAGAGGCACCTTTTAAAAGCAGCTCCATTTCTCTCAGACCCTCAAGCTGGAGGCAATAATTTCGAGTCTTGACATAATTATCTGTGCTATTTTATTTAAAATACGAGTCAAACTCTATGCATAGGTTGGTCACATTTTATCAAAGAGTTCAGTTTGTATCCCTTACACACTTTTATCAACAGGCCGGGTGTTTACATAGAAATAACATATCTAAGTAACCTAAACTGTGCCTACAACATGATCAACTGAGAAAAAAACGAAAAAGCAATCCTGAAAATTCCAAGATAATTGGTACTACTGATGCTTTGGACAATGAGGATGCAGGTTGTAGTGTCAGAGCAAAGAATTCCCTCGAAGACCCTGGTCTAGATTACACATTATTGATTATAGGAGCACTGTCACTATTTGGAGAAGTGCCTAAATTGTGTTTACAAAGGAGGAATTACATTAGGTGAAACTCAGTAGTGATATAAGATATGAAGCCTAAATGAATCGATCTCTATCTTCTGCCTACACTATCATTCTGAAATATTGCATGCATTTTCTAATTGTTTCTCACCATTTCCAAATTCTCTTTCCCAATAGGAAAAATTGCTCAAATAATTTCCCTTGTTGACACATTTGCAGCAAGACATGCTGTTTGAAGGTGGCTAAGAACGCAAAAGTTTGAGCTAAAGAAGAGAAAAGGGAAATTTGACACTGAGTTTTAACAATTTTCAGTATTTACACTGAAATACTTACAACCAAACTAACATACTACGTTCAAACTAGAAATTGCTTTTGATAACTGGGTGCGATATAAAGAAGAAGGAAATGTTGGTACTTGACAAGTATTTCTCAGTAAATAGAAAACATGAAAAAAACTTCATTTCTGCTAAACCATGCTGCTGCAGTATAAAATAAACATTTGATAGTTCTCTTTTTATGAGTGAGGGCTGAAAATCTGGGCTAGACTCTGCTTCCATTCCCACAAAGGATAACACAATAATCTCATACCTTCTGGAAAAGCTCTAAATTACGCAAATCTTCTGTTTGAAAGCAGCCCGTACCACCATTTTCTCTGGAAGATAAGCAGATGAAAAGATCCCAAGGGTTCATATCACCTATCCGGAAAGAAAAGAAGCACTGTGAGAAAGGAAACATCATGCAATTCTTATTTGCATAAAAAATACTTAGAGCGAAATCCTGAAGAAGAGCAAACTGTTGGAGAGGTAATTACATGAACAGCTACAGGTGGCAGAACGATAAATGACACGCTACCACAGTTCAAGCTTTGAAACTATATTTAGGTATTTCATAGTGGGCATTCCCTGTTATTCCTGCCTACTGATGTCCAAATCCTGCTGTTTGACCTGTTTAACATTCAGAAATTAAGACGTTTGGTAACATGATGCTGCTTTAAGTTGTTCTTTTTTTTTTTCTCAACATGCATGCTTATAACATGTAGCCAGTGTTATTTTTGTGTAGTGGATTCCTAAATATTAGACACCAGGCTGCCAGATCCAGAACTGATGCACAAGTCGGAATTAGATTGCTAGCTTCCAAGCTAATGTGACGCTTCCTTCCTGGGACAAAGCTGACCCAAAGATACAAATAGGTCTTGAAATTGCTCATCTCAGCATATGATGTGGTGTAGAAATGCCACTGTTGCTTCAAATAACCTTGGACAGCTTCCTCACATGGTCATTTCTTCTGTATATAGCCTTTGTTATCTGGACCAGTTAGAGATGGTGGCAGCTCAGAACAGAATTATTACATCTGTTGAGGACACCATGAATATGTTCAATAAAGGGTAAATTATTTCACTGATAGGAAGACAATCAGTAATAATGAACTTACAAACAGAAAGGGTAGTTAGAGAAGCACTACAGCATCTAAGGGTATAAAATCAGGTCTCAAAGCTCCCTGCAGAATAGGTATTTGAGGGATGGGCTGGTTCTTTTTCCCAAGGTTGGGAAGATTACATGCATGTTATTCCATTTTGTGCTATCCATCTGTGATACCTTCTTAATTTTATTAGGTTACCTCCTTAATTTTGTCCCACCGATAGCCCACAGAAGTATTTATTTTATTTATTTCCTTTCTTTCTGTCTCCAGAATATATTTTTTTCCTATCCCAATCATGATCACAAATGTCAAGCCGGGTAAAGACTCCACTTAAAGAGATTTAACACTCATATTATGTTAAGTACAGTAATGAACTGATTGTGTAGAATGGATCCAGGACTATGAAAGTAACTATCACTTTTTTATGTTTATAAGCAGTGCAACAAAGCTGAAGAGATCAATTTTCAGTCACACTGCATTTATTACTGCAACAAGTTCTTCAATTTCACATTATGAGAACCAGTATTATGGTATAAAAATAATTAGGGTATATGAAATTTAGGCAAGACAGATTCACTACATGCTTCTTTGTGAAAAAAACAACAAAAAAGCCCTGCAGGTGGATAAAAATGTCACAGATAGCAAACAAACGAAGCATTAAAGAAATGTACAAGCAAATACCTCATTTTAATGCAAAAGTTTGGCAGTGCTAACAACCTACTCAATGACCTCACCAGCTATGTAATTATCAGATAAGCAAGATGTTATGCTTCTGACTAGTAAACACCTTTGAATAAATCATTATAATTGCATATAAATCACAATGTCTAGTTGTGTGCAAATTGAAAGGGAGCTGGAGGGAACTCCATTTTTCAGAAGCAGCTCATTTCCTTCCCTTGTTTATTGTGACCCATCCTGCCCTGGGAAGAATTTGATCCCTGACTCTGGAGGATATGCTTCACTGTGTATTTGCCTTTAGGATTCATCAGAATGATCAATATGAATGTACCTAATGAAGGAAAAGAAAATGTACCCTCAGATCTGGTGTGCTTCTGAGCCACTGCCCAGGAAGCAGAATAGTTCAAGAGAGCTTGAATGCCTGCCATTACTTGTGTTTTCTATTCAGAGTAATTAAACCTCTAGCCAGTTATTCCAGTACAGAACAATCAGAACTGAAACATGTCTATTTATAGAAGTCAGGAGACTTCCTATGAGAAAAACAGCGTACACCTAGTGCTGTCTCTCAGATTCAGGCTGACAGAGTAGTGTGACTTCTATTTAAATGTATCGATATATTCCTCATAAACTATACCTAAAAAACATTACTGGAAAACAAAACCAAAAAGTTTAGTTCTAGAATAGGCTCCTCTAGGAATCAATTTTGTCTCAAATTTGCCCATGTCATTCCTTCTGGAGCTTAACTTTTTGTGGAAAATGAACATATATGATCAGGGAACCAATAGTCTGTCTTCCTTCTGCATATTTAATAATAGCGGAACTATATCTCAGGAAAAAAAGTGCTACTCTTATTAGTATTCCAACAACATGACATGGGCCACACAAAGGACCGAAGATCCCTTTCACAGAACTTATTTTTAAAGTAAAGCAAGATACACATGAGCTAAAACATTCTACAATAAAAGAGAAAGAACAAAGTGATAGTAATAATAAACACTGTCTGCATGGAAGGACTCATGTTTCAAAATGTTTCTAGAGACTTTAATTAAGAAGCTTTAATAACATCCACAATTTTCCATTTTCAATGTACACACTATGTATATTTTTGCTGATTTCCCACAGACTTCAAACCAGAAGCAGGCTTTTACAGGACATTTGAAGGGGAAAGTTAAAAAGAATGCTTCATATCTGAACAATTTAATTACTAGCAATTTGCATTAAGCTTTTCCCACAGAATGATTTTTTTCTCTTGTTATGGAAATCCTGTTTGCTTTATTCAGAAAACCAATGGAGCTCAGCACACAGGAGCTGTAGATCAGTTAGAGAGTATGAAATCACACCTTATGGAGATACTCTCTACTCTTCATAATATTTTGCACTTGGACAAGTAAAAGAGTGGTAACAAGAAGAATATGCAATTGCATGTTCATCTGCTCTCTGAATATCTTTTAAAATCAAGACAGTTTAGTTCAGCCTGTTAATTAAGGCCTTGTATACACAAGGAATGCTCATCTGCAGAATTATATCTAACTATGCAGGCAAAGTGAGCTTTAAGTGGATACATGCTGGCAGCGTGACGCTTTTATTCACCTGTCTTTTGCCAGCTCTTAGCTTCTTCTCTCTTGCAGTCTTTGCAGTTGTCATCCAGTCGCATCTCAAAAAGTATTTGTAACTGCAATGTGTATCTCATGTTTACCTAAGAATATCAACCTGAGTTTCTACTTCAATTAATAGTAGTACAGCATGATTTGATTGAAATCTGATGTGATCACCTTTATTCTGAATGAATCAAAGAATCAATTCCGAAAGCAATAACCTTCAACATAAATTTTATATAATGTACTAATTCTAATTTTCAATGAGATAGTGCTGTTTTCATTGGCTTTGACACTGATTTATCATTTGAAATAATTAAAATAGCTACTGTGGAAAAATAATTTAAAAGTTAATAGTCTAGGGAGAAAAGCAAAGATTTTTTTTAGCAGCAGAGGAAATAGCAGTGCAGACACCAATAAAAACATTTAACTTTTTCTGTAACAATATTCTGCAGAGAATTTTTGTATTCTGATAGAGCAAAGTTAACAGAAATCAAATGAGAACTGTAGGACTTGATAGGGTTTCAAGTTTAGAGATAAATTTCAAGAATTTCTGAAGGTGATTTTTAAAGAAAAGGGATTTTATTCCAGTCACTAAAATGATCATGTTCTCCCCATGAGCTATGGAATTGGAGGCTAAATTTTAAAGGAAAACCATCAGATGCATGCACCTCTGGAACTTTTAATCTCTTAGGCGTACATTATTTAATTTAATCAAATGATTAATTTCCATTTCATTACCATAAGCTGAAATTTCATTTTGCAGTATTATGGTTTCCATCCTGAATTTTGAAATGAAAGAACATTGAAAATCAAATAAAATTTTCATCTTGAATGTTTATCTTCCTATATGTCATTAAAAAAAACAAAACAAAAAAACATTTGGGTAAATTTGTAATTTTGCATTTGCTCACACCATTACCTTGAAATTAATCAGTTTATGAGCACTAGAGGAAAAGAAGACAACAAGAAACAGCCAGCATTTGTTTGTCAAAAACTTATTACATAAAAGTATTTATTTTCTTCTGACAGAGTAACTGATCTAGTAAACAGAAATCAGAGTAACTGATTTAGTGAATAAAGCAAATATTAGCAATGAAACATTTTGACTTTAGTAAGTCTTTAGACATTGTTTCCACATAACATACCTAGGAGGTGATTGCACAGCTATTTGAAAAAATTAAGTCTAATCTACTATCAAAGTCGTGGGTTTTTGGAGCAGAACCTCAAAAGATACTCCACTGTGCATTCAGCTCTGATCAAACTTTTCCGTAAATTGAATGGTGGAATAAGTGCATTTATAAATGGCAAATGACACCAAGTTGAAAACTTGGATTTTGCAAAGCATGGTCAGAATTCAAAGTAATTCTGGTAATTGGTCCAGATTCAACCCAAGGAAATTCAAAACAAGTTAAAAGTGCCATAGTTCATAAGAAGAAATCAAATGGAGACGTACAATTTGCCATAGAGCACTACTGCAGAGAAAGACCAAAGTTATAAACTGCATATGAACTAACAATACAATATTGTTGCCAAAAAAACCCCAAACAAACAAACAAACAAACAAAAACAAAAAACAAACAACAAAGCAAATATAAATAACTCTTCAGCTGTTGGCAAGCATTTATTGATGCTGAAAAGAGTTGAATCCACATCTTTAAAATTTCAGTTTTAATTTATTCCATGCGAATTCCCCCCAGAATTCTAAATCGTAGAATTGGAACCAAGCCTGATTATGAGGGTTATGGTGGTAACAATGATCAGGGGTTAATCCTTCTACTTCATTTTGTGTTAGTCATACCCTTCCAGTAGCACTGTTCCCCAGTTTTGGAAAACATGGTTTCAGTAGGGGATTAGACAAAGGAGATAGATTTTGGAAGACCTCCTACAGAGGCTGACTTGGATGGAGTCAGTCCTTTGTCTAGCAACTCATACAGTGATGTCTGTTTGATTTGATACCAAACACACCATTGTTTTAACTATTTCTGGGTGTCAGTGCCGTC